TCCCAAAGTGCTGGGATTACAGGCTTGAGCCACCGCGCCCGGCCCAAGTATGTTAACATAAAACAATTGTCAATTATTTTTGGTACAAAATGAATGTTTATCATAGTACTCTCTTTTTCTGCATTTAAAAATATTTCTTAAAGTAAAAACATTCAAATAAGTTTAATTAAGCTCCATTATTTTGGGCCAGGCATGATAGCTTGTGCTTGTAATCCCAGTACTTTGAGAGGCCAAAGCAGGTGGATCACCTGAGGTCAGGATTTTGAGACCAGCCTGACCAACATGGCAAAACCCTGTCTCTACTAAAAATACAAAAAAATTAGCCAGGTATGGTGGTGCATGCCTGTAACCCCAGCTACTCAGGAGGCTGAGGCAAAAGAATCACTTGAACCCAGGAGGAGGAGGTTGCAATGAGCTGAGATCATGCCATTGCACTCCATCCTGGGTAATGAGTGAAATTGTATCTCAAATAAATAAATAATAATAATAAGTAAGTTCCATTACCTTAAAAAAGATTATAGATATGCTATGTATGTATCTATGTAAGTGTATAAAATAAAATAATATTTAAAAGGACAATCCATTAATCTTTTATAATAATGGCGATGTATAAAGACAAAGATGAGTTTAAAAGAGTAAAGTTAATATTTTACTTTATATTCTTACATATTTTTTAAAAATGTAGTAAATACATATTCATTTTTGATATACCTAACATCATGAAGAGGACAAAAAAACAGCTTTTCAATGGCTGTTTTTATTTGGTCTACTTTATCCTTAGAAAGATATGTTAATTTCATCCATTATGATTGTGTTTTGAGCCGTTTGTGATTTATGTATTTTGAATGTATATTATTCATCCTATAAAGATGCATGTCTTATATTTACATAGTTTACACTTTTAATATAAAAAGAATTTCTTTGTATCAGTTTGTATTTTAGTTTTGAAATCTACCTTGATATTAATGCTTAAACTTTTGCCATGTTTCTCTTTGTTTCTGCCTAGTAAACCTCACCCTATCCATTCATCTTTAACCCGTGTCATCTTGCTTGGGCATTTCTATACCAAACAGCAGATAGATTGCATCTTGTTTTTCTTTTATTAACTCAAATCTGAGAAATCTTTTTATTTTGCAGAGATGCTTAACTTTTTTATTTCTGATTAATGCTTCAAAGTTCAGTTGCCAAAGAGGCCCATAAGCCTGAGTTTTCTTATCTGTAAAACATTGATAACAGAGTGCTGTGAAGATTAAACAATATACGTAAAACATATAGTATAATGTAAGCACTGAATAATAATTCCACAAAAGTTTAGCAATGAAAATTGTCAACAACATAGAGCTCAGATGTTTAGCCCTATTTTGTTATTTCACTTTGTTTTCCTTTTGTGTGTGCAGTTGCGTGTCTTCTTCCTTGTTTTTATTTTATTCTATTTTCTAAAGTGTATGCTTGTTTTTTTATTTTGTCCATGATTTTCAAAAAATATATGTTGGTTTTAATTCATTTAAGCATGTATTAAGTAGTTAATGTGTGTTGATGCTACATTAGATGCAGGATACAGCAGTGAACCAAAGTGACATTTTACCTGTCTTCATTGTATGTGAATTTTATAAGAAAGACTGATGGGAATAAAATGTTCCCAATTATGAATGCAATCTCTGATAATTGCCATAATTGCTATGAATGGAAAGTACATTAGGCTAAGTTAGTGGAGATGGGAATTTGCCTAATCTTGAGTTGGGGTGCAGGCATAGGTGATAGTCTAGACAGAAATCCTGCAATAGAATGTAATGTATCATTAAAGAAACCACCAAGTCATTGAGGTAAACCAGTGCTCAGAATGCCAGATGTATTAGGACATTCTTGCATTGCTATAAAGAAATACCTGAGACTGGTATTTCTCAGACTGGTATTTATAAGAAAAGAGGTTTAATTGGCTCACATTTCTGCAGGCTGTACAGGAAGGGCTCAGGAAGCTTTAACTCATGGCAGAAGGCAAAGTGGTAGCTTGTACTTCACGTGTTACAAGCAGGAGCAAGTGGTAGGGGAAGTGCCCACACCTTTAAATGACCAGATTTCATGTGAACTCAACTGGAGAGCTCACTTATCACCCAGGGAATGGCCCATGCTGTTCATGAGCGATCCGCCCCCATGACCCAAATACCTCCCACCAGGCCCCATCTCCATGATTAGAGATTACATTTTAACACGAGATTTGGGCAGGAACAAATATCCAAACTATATAATTCTGTTCCTGGCCCCTCCCAAATCTCATGTTCTTCTTACATTGTGAAATACAATTACACCTTCTCAACAGTCCCCCAAAATTTTGACTTTTCCAGATTTAGCTCCAAAGTCCAGAGTTTCATCTGAGACAATACAAATCCCTTCCATTTATGAGCCTGTAAAATAAAAAACAAGTTAGTTACTTCCAAGATACAATGGTTGTATAGGCATTAAGTAAACATTCCCAATCCAAAAGGGAGAAATTGGCCAAAAGAAAGGGGCTATAGGCTCCATGCAAGTTAAAACCCAAGTGGGCAGTCATTAAATTTAAAGCTCCAAAATAATCCTCTTTGATTCCATGTTCCACATCCTGGGCACACTGGTACAGGGGAAGGCCTCTCAAGGCCTTGGGCAGCTCTGCCTCTATACTTTGCAGAGCACAACTCCCATAACTCTCATGGGCTGGTGTTGAGTGCCTGTGGATTTTCCAGGTACAGAGTACAGGCTGCTGGTAGAACTACCATTCTCAGGTTTGGAGGATGGTGGCCTTCTTCTCACAGTTCCACTTGACAGTGTCCTACTGGGGACTTAGTGTGGGGGCTTGAGCCCCATGTTTCCTCTTCACATTGCCCTAGTAGAAGTTGTCTGTGAGGGCTCTGTTCCTGCAGCAGGCATCTGCCTGGACATCCAGGCTTTTTCATGCATTCTCTGAAACCTACTCAGAGGCTTTCAGGCCTCAACTCTTGCACTCTGCATACCCACAGACTTAACATCTCATGTAAGTCATGTGAGCTTATGGCTTGCATCCTCCAAAGTAGCAGCATGAGCTCTACCTG